ATGGGCCATTACTTAGAAAGATACAACCTTCCTAGACAGAAACAAGAAGAACTAGAGAATCTAAACAGACCAATCAGCAGCACGGAAGTTGAAACAATCATAAAGAGCTACCAAAAAGTAAAAGTCCAAGAACAGATGGCTTCACCAGATCTCTAATCACTATGCTGTACAACTGAAACTAATATATTACTGTATGCCCACTATAATTGGAAAAAAACATTGAATTGTACAATGTAAATATGAGCAACTAATTATCTCTTCAGTGAAGCTGGAGAAAACAAGAACCTCACATATGCTGCCTGCAAGAGACTCACTTTAGGTTAAAAGACACACACACACAATGAAAGAAAAGGGATAAAAAACTACTTCACGAAATTAGAAATGAAATAAAAGCTGGGGTAGCAATACTCATACCAGAGAAAATGACTTTAAAACAAAGGCTATAACTGGAGACAAAGAAGGACTCATAATCCCACTTCTGGGTATTTATCAGAAGAAACCCAAAACACTACTTTGAAGGGCCATGAGAGTCCATATGTTAATTGCAGCATTATTTACACTAGCCAACTTATGGAGGCAACCTGGGTGTCCATCAATGGATGACTGGCTAAAGAAGAGGTGGCACATACATACAATGGAATATTACTCAGCCTTTAAAAAGATGAAATCTTTTTAGCTGCTTCGATATAGTTGGACCTAGAGGGTATTGTGCTGAGTGGAGTAAGTCAGACAGAGAAAGACAAATGTCATATGGTATCGCTTACATGTGTTATCTAGAGAACAAGATAAACAAACAAATCAAATGGAAACAAACTCATAGATAGTACCAAACTCAAAGCAGTATTTTGATGGTTGCTGGACTATGGGTGATGTAATGCAACAAAATTTTGTAACTAGAGACAAAATAATTCTACCTGAGCTCCACATTGGATAGATAGACACATGCACATCCATGGCTCAGAAGCAGTTGGTAGTTGCATAGAGGAGATCATGTGCAGTCAGAAATCAGAGCATGAGAAGTTCCAGAAGGCAGGGACACTTAGGGTGGTATGAATCTGAGCAGATGGAAAGTGTCTGTGATTAGAAGGCACAAGAAAGTCTTGTGGCAAGATGACTCTGGTGTCCAGTCTTCAGTACGTGCGTGCATGTGTGCGCATGACATCCCAGCCTTCTGTATATTCATGTAAGTGCATGCACAGTGTATTGCAGTCTTCTGTATTTGCATGCACTTGTGAGCAAAGTGAATCCCAGTCTTTCGTGTGTGCACCCCAGTCTTGTGTATGTGTGTGCACGTGTGCACAGTGCAGCCCAGTCTTCTGTATGCACGTGCAGGTACGTGCACAGTGAGTCCTAGAATGCCTCATATTTTTAAATTTTAAATTATATTTCTCTCACAGAGCGAGATCATGTGTGACACTCTGGTCATCTTACAACTTGGATTTTGTCCATGAATTACATGCTGATGTTGTTTGAGGTTTTTTTAGTTTATCAATCTCTGTGTTGTAATTAAGCTTAATTTGCTTAGTAATTCCATTGGATTTGAATGCTTTTGCATATCTATTTCAATGAGTTTATAACCAATGATACTTACTGTGTGGAGAAAAATAACCATGGTCAGACTCTCTCCCACAACTGTAGCTAACTTCTGGGAGGAAGAAACTCAGCACTTCTCCCCTTATGTAACCATGTGTCTGATATATATGCTTGGGCTTCTAACTTGGCAGTGTGCTACTATTGTTTAATCTGTGTGTTAAAGGTGCCACTCCAGAACTTCTGCTCTGTGAGACGAGCTGTGCCTTTGCTGGAATAAAAAGCTATGTTGCAGTTGCCTACAGCTCCCCATATTTTCTTCCAGCTTCCTGAGTCTTGTATCCCTTACCTTGGAACTGTGAATCTGCAGCAACACATGTACCTACAAAAGGCTTTTTAGTAAGACTTTATTTTTTTTTCATCCTTTATTTCAAATGATTGTAGAGGAAAGGGAACAATTAGGAGAACATCTGGAGATGATGGATTTTCAGCAGAGGTTAGAAATTGTTAGAGCTTCCAAATATAGGTGATACCTCATCATATCTGTTCATCTTATTTGGATTTGAAAACTGCAAATCATCTCTCACCAAACAATGAGAGCAGAGCGACAAGCATATTGTGCCCCCAGGCATCCATCTTCTTACATGAATTCTGAATGGCTGTGCACTAGAGAGCACAAGCCCTAATTGCTTCCTTGGGGTCCTTAGTCCCAGTGACACAGAAAGTAAACACATCACATGTCCCTGTCTGTGACTCCTCCATGCTCTCATTATTTCTGAGAAAACAGAGTCTTCTTCTTTTAGAAGTTGATGCCCTGTGCTCCTTCCTAGTGTCTGTGCCTTGAAGTCAGGTAAAAGATGTCTGCAGTAATGCCCACCTTTCTCTCCATGTGTAGCATTCATGGACCTTGTGGCAAAGGCTCTATGGGGAGTAAGGCTCCTTTACAATAAATAAATACATACCTAAATAAAGTGTTTAGTTATTAGTCAGATTTAAGAGAAGCCAATATGCTTGTTTTTCAGTGCTTTTGTCAGATAGGTGTTTGTTTTTCTATGTGAATTGACTAAGTGAGTTATCTGCATACAGAGCAAAAACTATCAATCTATTCATTTTATGTCATGGAGAAAGTGCTACCAGGAAAAAATTATTTGAATTTGATACAAACATTGCTAATGATCCTATGCTTTTTCCAGTGTGTGAATGCTATTGTGTAGTCAAAGATATCATATGGCACATTTATAATTAGATTAAATGTTCAGGAATTATAAACTGATTTTTAAAAATATTAAGAAAGTGAAATATGAATGGTGTTTCTTGCAAATATAACAAAAGGACTAATTTTAAAAGTAGCCAACTGTACTTTCATCCTTCTCCTTATTCTGTATTATGATCATGTTTAAGGAATTTTCTTGGCAACAAGAAACTGGCAGATAGAACCTTCTGACAAAGCTCCAAGCATGATGCAACACATCTGAGCTCCTTAGCCAGTTTCCGAGTGAAATGCTCCATTGATAAATGCTTTTCAATATATTTAGGTTAACATGATCCATTCACTAGGACCTGCTTTAATGTTAACATAACATAATAGTGAGTCAAAACAATGGGCAAACGAGTATTTCCAAATCATTATTTTATTTTTAGAGTTGACGACGTGTAGTTAAATGGGAGATTGCACAGCAAGGGTGAGATGTGTGTGCGCGCGTGCACATGGGGGGGTGAGATGTGTGTGCGCGCGTGCACGTGGGGGTGCGCGTGTGTGTGTGTGTGTGTGTGTGTGTGTGTGTGTGAATTATCTGATGAGATAATCAGAGATAATGGTTATGCTGCTACATAGATGAGACTGACAGGCAGGAACCTACACAGAACTAAGAGGGGTAAGAACTAGAAAATATGTGTATTTAAGAAAAGAAAGAAATAGGCCTTGGCACTCAGTTTTGGGTAGTTAATTATGTGATCAGTTTGTGTTTCAGTAGAAATTCTGTTTTATTTGGAAGACTTGGCTATGGGGCCTTTGGAACACACTTATTGCTCTTTTCGTCCAGATGCTTATCATATGCGTAAGAAAGCTAAAATGAATATATATAAGTATTCTATATACAAGTCTGTGTGTGATAAATGCAAAATGACCTGTAAAGACCAAACAAACGAAAACATTAGAAGCTCACAGAGCAAGGCACACATTAAAACTTCTGAAGTTTTGATCTAAACTTTCATGGCCTAAAAGCCTTCTGAAGACTTTGATCGGGAAGAATTGTGATAAGAGGCGTGTTTCAATATTTCTACGTATTTTTAGAATCTGAGCTCTGTGATGGTCCCAAGACAGGATGGTTTGACATGGGAGGGGTGAAGGGTGAATTCAAATATGATGCTTAATTTTCAGTTAAGGTGTGTGAAAAAGGGAGGTGCCCTATTGTTCAATAGTCATCACAGAATGCTGTGTGGTGGACTCACTATTGCACAGGTTGAGTAAAGGTGGTATTATAACAGACATAGATGCACACAGACATGTGAAAATAGAGTTTCATGGTCAAAACAGACAAATCAACCAAACATGAAGCCATAGTGTCATCAGCAAGTGGTGAAGTAATGTGAATAGGTGAGATAGTTGGGAAGTACTGACGAAGAAAGAAGAAAACACATATCAAAAATTGGGAAATGACCCCAGTGGGGATGAGGTGGAAGCACAAATTTAGTATAGAAAAGGCAAAAGTTGTCATAGTGGAGAAAGAACAAAATATGCTTAGAATTTCCTAATGAATAGAATTTTAAAAATAAAACATGGCAATTAACATAGTTTATTTCTTAGCATAATGAGACAGAACGGTAGTGATTCAAGTTCCTAGGACTGACAGTTAAGAGAATATTTCTAAGTGTCATGTATTCTGTTTCAACATAACAAACGCACAGAAAACTAATTTAGGATACTGAGCAACATTTACAAAGTGGTTAATAATAGATTGTATACATATGTGCATTGATAGAATACTCTAGCACTGTGGAATGGAGGGTGCCTTTGGCAGTGAAGTCATAGCAGAGACACTTTAGATTATATATAGATTTCAGAATTATATCTTTACAACCTCAGTTAGGACATGATAGCAGAAGATACAGAGAACAGCATGGAAAAAAAATTTAATAGCGTCAGTTTTAAAAACAGGGGAGCTATATACATATTCGAAGGCAAAGAGGTAAGAAGTGGAGAAGTCAGAGTTAGAGATAGTGTGAATACACAAAATTAGCCAATGACAGAATTCCCAGGGAAAGCAGGAGAAAGATAATAATATAAAGATGAGAAAAGGGTAAGGGCTTAAATTGGAGGTGATTATTTACAGTTCTAAGGGAGGACTGTACTGTTTGCCTCTGTAAGGTCAACACCCAGGAGAGATGATAAAAGTACAGAATTCTATGCAATCTCACATATTTCCTTGCTCCAACATATTTTTCTTTTAAAGGTAATGCAATGAAAAGTGATGGTCATTCTCAATACCAGCTCTTTTGGTGTTTTTTTTCTGCTGGGCTTCTCTGAGCAGCCACTGCTGGAGATGACCCTCTTTGCCATAGTTGTGGTTTTCTACTTACTGACCTTGCTGGGCAATATGGCCATCATTATTTTGGCTCATCTGGATCCCCGGCTCCACAGCCCGATGTACCTTTTCCTCACACACTTGTCTCTAATGGACCTCTGCTACACCACCAGCACAGTCCCCCAGCTGCTGGTTAACATGCAGGGCCTGAAAAAGACCATAACTTATGGTGGCTGTGTTGGTCAGCTGTATGTGTCCTTGGCCATGGGTTCCATGGAGTGCATCCTCCTTGCAGTCATGGCCGTGGACCGCTATGTGGCGGTGTGCCGGCCCTTGCACTATGCCACTCTCATGCATCCGCGCATCTGTGGGCAGCTGGTGGCCATGACCTGGCTGGCAGGTTTGGGAAACTCACTGGTGCAGACTGTGCTAGTCACACAGGTCCCTCTTTGTGGAAGAAATGTCATAGATCACCTCTTCTGTGAAGTGCCGGTTCTGCTCAAACTCGCCTGTGTGGATGTTACCTTCAATCGCATGGAACTCCTCCTGGTCAGTGCATTTTTTCTCCTGGCACCCCTCACACTCATTCTCACCTCCTACAGCTGCATTGCCCAGGCTGTGTGGAAGATCAGGACCGCTGAGGGGCGTCACAAGGCTCTGGGGACCTGCTCTTCCCACCTGGTGGTGGTATTTCTCTTCTACGGCACTGCTATGGCCACATACCTGCAGACGCCCTCGGCCACTTCCCGTGACCGGGACAAGTTCATGGCCTTACTCTATGGAATTGTCACCCCAACTCTAAACCCTTTCATCTACACATTACGCAATAAAGATATGAAAGGAGCACTGAGGAAGATGTTGGGGAAAGTGTAGAGGGAAAGGAGGGGTGAGAAAGGGCGGAAACTAAAGAATGTAGGATTGCAAAATGGACTGGACCATGAGAAATTTTTAATTCTGAAAAACTGGCAATCTTTTGTTTTAATTTCTGAGTAGCCAAACTCATGTGTCAGAAAATATTAATTTTATCAAGTTAATATATTTTATGGCTTGCCTATGAGCATTAAGTATCTGAGATTAGATAATAATCTCTTACCTTCACTCTGCCAATGACCATCTACATGACAGCGCCTATCAAGTAATTTCTCTTATCTTTTTATCACTATGAAAAAGAGCAATGAAAACACCCACTCTGCATAGTTGCGAAGGAGTGGGAAGGAGTTAGATAAAATCGTGTTTTGTAGGTTACAAATGTAAAATACAAGCAATCCCACATACAATTTTAGGGCATTAATTTTAGTTTTAGATTATTTACAATCTCCACATTGGTGGTTCTTTAAAGCCCATCAGGCCTAATTTGTGTAGTATACAAATCTCTGTAAAACATTTTTGAATGATGGTCATTCAAATTTATTTAAACATTTCCACAAAAACAAAATGGTCTATTTTCCCCAAGGTGTATATTCCACATTTGAAAAGATATGCTCATTTCTGGTTTTTCCTAAGGGTAAGCTGGAAGTTTGCTTCTATTAAATCAGTTTTGTTGATTTAACTTGGCCTGCAGAGCCACACAAAATAGCCTCTGAAAATATAATCTTCCCTTTACCTAAATACTTTCAACATATGAAATAGAGTTCACTGCATAACTTCTTCAAATTAACACATATTTCTTTAACCTATTTCTTCAGTAGCATGATGGCAGCACTTCTCACAATACTGGTATTTATTATTCAGTTACAGTTGACATTTGATATTATTTTATATTGGGTTCAGGTGTACAGCACAATGGTTAGATATTTATATAATTGTGAAGTGATCCCTTCGATAAGTCTAGTCCCCACTTGGCACCATATATAGTAGTTATAATATTATTGACTATATTCCCTATGCTATACTTTACATCCCTGTGACTACTTCATAGCTACTAATTTATACTTCCTAATCCCCTCACCTTTTCACCTAGCACTGCAGACACCCTGCCATCTGGTGACCATCAATTTGATCTCTGTATCTACCAGTCTGTTTCTGTTTTGTTAGTTCATTTACTCTGAACTTTAGAATCCACATATAAGTGGATTAGTCTAGTACCCACCTGCAATATACATAGTTATTACAATATTATTGACTTTGTTCCCTACAATCTGTGAATAATGATAGTTTTATTACTTTCTTTCCAATTTGGATGCCTTTATTTCTTTTCTTTAGCTGATTGCTATGGCTAGGACTTCCAATATTAAGTCGAATGAAAGTGGTAAACGTTGGCATCCTTGTCTAATTAATTCCTGATCTTAAGGAAAACACTTATAGCTTTTTCCCCTTGAGTATAATGTTAATGGTGGGTTTGTCACATATGGTATTTATAATGTTGAGATATGTTCTGTCTATTCCCACTTTGCTGAGAGTTTTTACCATAAATGGATGCTGGATTTTGTCAAATGCTTTTTCTGCATCTAGTGATATTATAATATGATTCTATACTTTATTTTGTTTATGTTGTATATAACCTTAGTTGATTTGTGGATATTGAACCAACCTTGCATATCAGGAATAAATCCTACTTGATTTATTTGTATTTGATCTTTTTGATGTATTTCTGTGTTTGTTTTGCTAATATGTTGTTGAGAATTTTTATTCTCAGGGATATTATCAGGGATATCAGGGATATATCATCAGGGATATATATATTTTTAAAAATGTCTTTGGTATCAGTTTCGTCTGGTAATGATGGCCTCATAAAATGGGTGCTAATTTTTCTTTGACCGTATGGTAAAATTCACATTTGAAGCCATTTTGTCCAGGACTTTTGTGTGTTGGGAGGTTTTTGATTACTAATTCGATTTCTTTTGCAGTCGGTTCAGATTTTCTGTTTCTTCTTGACAATATTGAGAGGTTGTCTGTTTCTTGGAATGTATCTATTTCTTTCAGACTGTCCAATTTGTTGGCATACAATTTCTTGTAGTATATTCTTATACTTCTTTATATTTCTGTGGTGTTGGTTGTCATTCTCTTTAATTTCTGATTTTATTTATTTGAGTCCTCTCTTTTTCTTGATGAGTCTGGTTAAATATTTATCAATTTTGTTTATCTTTTCAAAGAGTCAGATTTTAGATTCTTCGATCTTTTGTATTGTTTCCTTAGACTCTATTTTGTTTATTTCTGTTTACATTTTTATTATTTTCTTTCTTCTACTTACTTTTGGCTTTGTTTGCTGTTCATTTTCTAGTTTCTTTAAGTGTAAGGTTAGATTATTTGAGTTTTTTCTGTTTCTTGATGTATTGTCATAAATTTCCCTCTTAGGACTGCTTTTGCTGTGTTCTAAAAGCTTTGAGCTATTGTGATTTCATTTTCATCTATCTCAGGGTATCAAGGAGGGTCCTCACAAGAAAGAAGAATCACCCTGGATGGCTCAGATGAGGGGTTGTAATGAAGGTACACATACCAGTTGGAGTGTGAGTATGGGGACACAGAAGAATTAGGAAGGCACCAGAGATTAGCCACAGGAGAAGGCATGTTGTACTTTGATCTAGAAGAACAAGGGAAGGAGAAGTGTCATCAAGGTAGGAGATTGGAAGCTATAAACAAGCTTCCTTGCACATGTGGTAGGGATGCAGCTGCTCTCACAGATTCACTGATGCAAGGGAAAGCAAGAGGAAATATCCTAGAAGCTGTCCTCCCATTTTCTCAACTCCTTTTGGTGCCTCAAATTACTGAGGCATGGGAACCCCAGCTGGCATTTAGCAGAGAAGTTAATCTGGGAGATGCAGTCCACAGGGGTCAGCTTCCTGAGGCAGAGAGCAGACAAGAGAAGGGCAAAGGACAGGTCTGAGGCCAATAGACTAAGAGTATCCAGGCTCTTCCTCCCTCTTCCCCTCCACCAGCTTTAGCATGAGTCTCCATTCTCATACTTTTTACTCTATGATTTCATCAATACATTTGCACCTGGAGGCCTCATGGTATATTCTGAGCAGAAACAGAACTTGAGTAAAAGAGCTAAAAGGTTTATTCTCTCAATCATTTGTTGTTGTTGTTGTTTTTTTAACTGAGAAGGTACCCTTTTTTTCAGAGACATCCTAAACTCTCTTGGCAAGAACTGGGCCACCTCTAGCTTTAATTTAGGTTGGGACATTGGCTATTTTATCTAGTCACATCACATTCTTCCAAAATTGGGATTCAACAAATTAAGGCATAAAAGAAGGGATGGATCTTGGGTAGACAGCAAATAGATGAGCCAGACCTGAGTACAATTATCTTGGTAGAATGTGGGAAGTTATCAGGCAAAGATAAAATGTGATCAAAGCTGCAAGTTGAGAAAGGTGTGTCCAGTTTCTGACTGGAATTAGTCCAATACTTGTGCTATCATTAAAGAGAGTCTGGAGATCATGAGAACCAGATATTTTGTGGTTTTTAATTTGGGGGAAAAAAGAAGGGAAGAAATAGAGGTATTGAATAAGCATGTCAAATTCAAAGATATCAATGGCATAGAAAAATTTGATTTCACTGTTCATGGGTGCAATATTTTTAGAAAAAAAAACTGTTAAAATATTTTTGAAAAGTGTCAAGTCATTTTGCAAAATTTTCTGTATGAGAGACTTCAGGAAGTGCTATATAATTGAAAAAATGGGAACATCAATGTCCAACAATAAGATATTTATTTGACAAATATGGTGTATACCATGTCTTATAATTTAACAGTCTTCAAGTATTAATAAAACACACACCTATTAACACACATAGCAAAAGCATTGATAGTATGTCATTGAATGAAAACACTGATTATAAAATATGCATAATACTAGCCTACTTTATGTACTTTCTCGATGTATAAGTGTGTGTAATTTTAGTGAAACCACTAGAGGCATTTTAATCCAAGTTTTCTAATTTTTTTTTTAATGTAAAATGTGTATATAGGCAAGTAGATACATATAAATGTGGTGACATTTTTTGGTGTTTTCAATGTTTTATGTTCTTAATATTTGATCATCTGTTATTTCCCTAAAAAATTACAATGACTAATACAATTTTTTAATCCAAGATCAAAATAAGGGCATAAAGAATTGTTTATTCCTGGGCCTTGGGAGGTCCAAGGGGTTTATGTTTCATGTCTGTGGGTCACATTCTTGCACTGTTGGTGGAAGAAAAAATTTGTGCAGCCACTATGGAAAACAGTCTGGTGGTTCTTCAAAAATTAAACTGGATCAGCCTTTTGACCCAGCAATTGCATTTCTGGGTATTTATCCAAAAAATCCCAAAACATTAAATCGTAATGATCTATGCATGGAAGTGCAATTCACAATAGCCAAGAGATTGAAGCAACCTAAATGCCTACTTAATGACCCAAAATTCCACTTCTGGTTATTTATCCAAAGAAACCAAAACACTAAATCAGGGCCCGGTGATCATCTGAAAAGCAGCTGCAGCCCTCCCATCCTTGCCCACGGGACTCCCACCTCAGCCATGTCCCAGACTCAGAAACATGTCTCCAAGACCAGGCAGTATTTTGAAAGTTCCTGGGGTGGCCCCTTTCAGAAGCCAAGGCCTCATCTGCTGAAGGGGCAGGCCTATGTGCAAGGTTTCTGTTGAGTTGTCAACACCCCTGGGCAATTTCTCATCTGGCCACATATGAATCCCTGCAGGGTTAAAAATGAGTGATGTCAGAATAATGGCAGCATGAAGAATCTCCCCTGAACTTTCCCCTTGCAGTTACAACAAACTAAACACCTACAGTCCAACAGATAACTCCAAGACTAGCATACAAACACATTGGAGAGATCTGCGCATCAGAGCATCTGAAGGTGGGTGAATCAAATGACTAAAGGAGGACAAAAGGGAAGAAACAGAGACCTTGTGCTGTGATCACAGCCAAGAGGTCCTTTCAG